GTCTTTTGTTTATCTGTTTTTCATGATTCCATACTTTTTTCATCAGAATTGAGTGATTCCATATTTTTCCCTGTGCTTGGTCAATAAAAGTAACATTTACTGACTTCCACAATGTTTTTTCTTCATTTCTTTGCGTGTTCCTGAAAGACAACAAGTTGACCTTTGGAATGACCTTATTYTTGTATCATGTTTTTGATCTGAGTTTGTTTTACAGGATGAAATGTCTGAATGAGTTGGTGATTCCATACTTCTTGCCAGGGTCTGTACCTCTCTCTGACCTGAGCAGACACACTGAATCAGGAGTGTCAGGACTCTTTCCTCTGACTGTCTCTGTCCTCCTCCACCAGTTTGCCCATGTTTACAGTCCTCAGAAGGTTCTCCATCCTCTTCACCATGCTGGCTGAGGGATTTCTGCTGAAGTAGGTCCAGACGTGCATTCACTCTGCTGCTTCTCCTGAACGAGACAAACTGATTCTCGGCACATTAATGTCGTCTTTAAAGCAGCTGCTCTGACTCTGGTGTGTTTGACTCGTGGCAGGAAGAAGTTCTCGTGGCCGGTGCAGATGACAGTGTTTACAATGATCCTCGGGGCGTTTATTGCAGCCAGGTTAGAGCTTGTCCTGCAGCTGGCGTGACCTTCAGGGCCACTGCATGGACACGTGTCATGAAATCAGTTCTGCTGAAGGTCTAAAGCTATGTTCCTGTCTCGTTCTGTGTGTAGTGCTGACTTGTCCTTTGACGCACAAGGCTACGCCTTCATCCTGATGAATGACATCATGACTGCAGCTAACGGAGCCTATGTGAAACAGAAATTAGATGCAAAGGTACGTGGCAGCAGCTGAATGCTGCTCAGTGTTGGACAGGAGCTGCTGTTTGAGTTAGAGACAAGATGTCCTCAGCCTGTGACTTCAGGGACACGTCCAACCTGATCTGAGCTGTGTGCTCTGACATGAAGCTGTGTTTGTGGAGCAGAGACGTGTTGGAGCTTGTTGTGGTGTCAGCAGACACTCTGAAGTCCCACGCTCCATGAACACAACCAACAGAGTTAGCTGGTGTGTGTGTGTGTGTGTGTGATAACTCTGTCCTGTTGCTCTCATGTGTTCAGGAGCTGGGGAAATGGGGGTTATTATTTTATAATGCCTTATTCATGCTGGTGCCCACGCTGCTGCTGGCTCACATCACTGGAGATATTCAGAAGGTGAGCACGGCGTCTCCTCATGTTTTCCTGTTAACCCCTTCATTTCAGCTCACTGTGTCAGTCTAACACAGTGTTAAAGCTCCACCCATCAGTTGGTGAGAGGGTGAATTGAAGTGTGCACAGAACCAGGCTGTGTGCTGAGTGTTGGCAGAGACTTCCTGGTTTGTCCAGCTGGGGCCCAGCAGGCTGGACGGCACAAAGATGTTATTCTGCACCTGGCAYAGCTGCTCCAGCACAGCCTGCAGCTTCAACAACCACAGCAGTGATGCAGAAGCTGAAAGTCAGGAGGTTTCATGGTTTGTCAGTCACTCTGCATGGTTAATGTGACACACTACAGTGACTCAGTCATTCCTTATTGCCGTACAGTTTTCCCCCTGTTGTATTGTTTTGTTAAACTTTATTTTTATTATTTTTCAGTTTTGAAAATACTAGGCCTGTCAAATGATTCATATTTTTAATCTGATTAATCCCAAACTAGCTGTGAGTTAATC